TCAAACTTTTTTCCTACCAAATCTTATTCTGCAAAAACAAGCAGGTTAGGAGTCTATTATCTAACACGTCAATATCACACCTATTTTACAACATATGCAAGGTCAATGGGTCATTGACACCAATAACACAAAACAGCTTTTACGCATTCTCAGCATGAAGTATGTGTTTTTAGCACAGCGGGACTCAATTCCGTAGTTTGTTACTAGATGCGTTAATCTTGTAGAAAATTGAATATGTTTTTCCGAAGAAATATTCTAGACGAAGTGCGAAATTTCTTGAACAGAGATTGAAGGGAAAATGACATGAAAACGTATTGTTTAAATAAATTAGACGTGAAGGTTCAAAGGTCACATAGTGGGACTTGTACTACGCACTTATGAAAAAAGAAAATATAATTTACTTTTGAAATATACTTGTACAATTAGATATGGAAAAAACTGCTTATAATAAGCGTTAAAATTTTGTACTTTAAAGAAAGTGCTTAGGAAAGCGCTTTTTATTTAAACGCTTTTTAGTTTGAAGCTTACAAAATCGTTTTGAAAATTGTTGAAAGCCAAATGCGAGAAAAGGTAATTATAGGTTTTATGACAACGAAGCTTTTTTTGTAAAACTCGACTTTTACTTTTATTTATAATAATTATTATTCATATTGATCTCGCATTCTATTTATTATTGACGCATTCATTTGTTTAGGAAACATAGATGGCGGGACTAAATACTTAAGTACGTTGTAAAAAATTATATTGTTTAATATTGAACTGAGCAACGCTTACAACTTAAAATTATAAGCGTGCTTGTGTTCTTATATTAAAAAAAAGTGTATTAAAAAGCAAACTTTTTTAAATGCTTTTTGTTTAAACTCTCACCTCTATCTACAATTACAGTGAAGCAAACGCGTTGTTAAACACAATACGACGTCTTTCATTAAACTATGCTTTAGTTGGTGATAATGTAGCCAAAAATATTGTCTTTCCTGAATTAATGACCAATGCAAGCCTTAAAACAATGGCGTAGTAAATTAAAGGTTTTCAAAAGCTCCTTCTACACGGTTGGGCTACATCGCGAGAAAACTTGCACAAGTGTACACTTTTAGCATATAAGTGCCTCTTGGTAACGCAGCCACCAGGGCACCGTTTTCACCGATATAATCGCGTAGTTCACTGGCGCAACTTTACTCCCGATAAGGCTTGACCGTGTAGCCGGTCCTTTATGGAGACAAGATTGGCCACCCGCAGTGATAGACGCTCTTAATAGCTTTTCAATTAAACGACGTCCTTGTATAGATAGATTTACGCCCTCATTCTGGGGCCGGAACCCATCGAGGGTTACGGCCCCAACAAATGAGGATTTGATAGAGCCCAATCGAAAAGCGAGAGTTATGGGTGGAACAGAAAATGTTACGTTGTAAAACTGCAGCATTTTTACTCTAAAGTCTAAAAGTCAGTATATTAAATTCAAGTGTTCTTCATTTATTGTTTACAGCGCTTCTATAAACGGCAAATTTGAAAATGGATGGGCCTAAGGGCGTTCGCGCACTGGATTCGAACCGTATCCATTCCGTATCCGATAATATACAATTCTAGAAAACACGGACCCACTTCTGACGTCTCTTGTGCACTAAGTTAAATACACGAATATCGCTTTTACACTCAGAGATTACTACTAACGATTTGTCCTTCCAATCTCCGTCAACTTTTGGCATTGTTAAAATACATATGAAGACGCAGAAGAAATAAAACGTTTGCAAGGCATACACCTCCTGTTGAACTAACTTTGCAGTGACACATTTTAGGTGTAATAATTATGAGGAATTTAAACAAAATAGCAAGAAATTTATTTATAGTTATTACTGAATGTGTATTCACTTTTAATTTCATTTATATCGACACTTGCTGTTTTCCTTCGACGTTACCGCCGCGTTCGGATTAGGATCGGATGCAGTGCACAAGCGTTAATACAAATAAATAATGATCCGACTTGAAGATATTTTCGACTTCGGAAGACGGCATTAGGATTTACTCCTATAAATAGTACGACTACTTCGGACCGTCATTTCTCGGATCCGGAACTAATAAGAATCGAACGTAGTATGCGAACGCCCTCCGGATTATTTATATTTCAAATTTATTAACGTATTATAACGAGTCATCGGATCACTCCTTAATTTTTTTATAATAGCTTTTCTCGATAAAAACCCGGCAAATATTTAGTTTCATTAGAGCATAATCATTAGTTCATTTGCACTTACTTGTTTGTTTTATCGGCTCTGTATTCATTAGGTTCAACTTCCGATAACGCTTGGAATAAATACATAATTTAAAACAAGTTCATTCGGTAGAAAATTAAGCATGTTTCCGTTTTATACGATTACACCAAATTGTAGAATAATCAGTAACGCCCATTTGTTGAGAGACAACGCAATAACCGTTTGCTATATTTGCTATTCCGCTCGTAAATCAACATTATTTACTTTGTCTGATAGGATTTTTACGTCCATCGTAATTACGTCACATCATAAGTGTTGGTTGGGTAATTAATCACGCAGACGTATTTTTTTTTGATAGCATTGTGTCAAACAGTACAAAGTACAAAAGTTCCAGCTTAAGAACTATGAGCAGTTTTATTGCAGTTCCTACCACTTATTTAGTGTAAGTATAAATTAACTTGAAACCATATTTATTTTCTTTAACGTGCCGATACGTTGTAAGAATAAGTAAATTATCGTGACTGTGTGACGTGATTATGTGACTTTAGCGGATTTCCTCCCATAATACATAATACTATCGATACATTTTTTATTTATTATACATCTGATCCGGTCTGAACCAAAGGCAAAGGGCAACTGAATAAAACCCGACGACAGCCGAACACGAAGTCTGCCGAGCAACATTGAGAAAATAGAAGCACTGTACTTCAATCATTCTACAATATTGAAGAAGTCACATACAATTTTCATTTCATTTGTACAACATTTTTTTAATTGCACTCGAATGGAATGCAAAAGCCAACTTCCGTAAAATTCAGTGGACGCCTAGACTGGCACTTTAGAAACAATACTATAGTCAGTCATGTGTCTTCGACAAGATGGAATTTCATAGCTTAACACACAATAATGAACGACTGTCGTATGTGTAAGTAATTTCTTCCAATTACTTAAAGGTCCCAAACTTTTCATATTTGACACTATAAACGTGTTGTTAAAAGTTTAAATATTCCTTTGTTCAAAATCTACAAACGAAACAAAATACGCGTAGGCGAAGTTTATTTGGTTATATTTAATATTTCCGAAATAATTTCAAGACATTTCTTGTGAAAACAAGAATGTTATTTTCACAACGGTCCCTAAATAATATAAGAGAAAACACATTTTGCCCAAATTTTGATAAAATAAACAATAAACAGTTGGTGTTAGAAATTAAGATAACATTATGACTTACCTTTTTCCAAGTTAATATAAATTCTCCATTTTGTAGTAAGTACTCCAGAAAATTCAAATAAGTTAACAATTGTTTAAAAAATTCAGGACGATAAAAGCAGAATAAAATAAAAAAACCTTCTCATCACCATTTAAAAAATTGCCTTTCTAAATAAATAAAAGTTTATTTGTAAAAGATATTAAAAAAAATTGAACATTAAAACGTTTCAAATGAACATCATCTATCTTCAAACAAAACCGCTCGACTTAGAAAAAAATAAAATAATTGTTTTCATAAGAAAAGTATCAAAAATTCTGCTTCCATCATCGTAATAGTAAAAATGACTCACATTCATCTGCATCACGATCTTGTTGTAAGCTCGATGCCATCTCTGCTTCGGCGTTAATTTTGGCTGTTCAGGCTCAAACTCTAATTGATCCTGTACTTTTCTTTCCCGTTCACGAAATTCACCGTCTTGGTATTGTTCGTCTGTTTCGTTGAACTGTTCGTCGCCTTCAAACTTTTCTTGGTCCTCTTGAAACTCTTCATTCTGGTCATAAGCCTGGTCATCTCGGTACTCATTACCGTGTTCATCATAGCGTTGATCTTCGTGAAAAGTATCAGATTCTTCGGGCACTTCGTGGTACGTGGTTCGGTCCACTTGGAAAGAGACTTTGCTTTTGTCCGTTACGGATTCTGTAAATAATCATATAATATTTTGACATCTGAATATCGACAGTCGTATAAATCTGTGTGGTTCAGTCTTAATTAACTAGGATTTAGGGTACAAGAGCATTCAATAATATTTTACTTATTTCTAAATCACGAAGTTGTAGGTTTTAAATGGCGTTTATAAGAATTATTCATGTTAGTATTTCAGTACATAAATAGAAAACTTACGACACTTACCCTCTTGCGTCGTAGGAATTGCATGTTGTTCCTCTAAGTGAAATGAACTTTGTGAAGGTTTTCGATCAATTATCGACGGAGCTTGACTATGATAACTATCCACAGAAGGTTTTCGCCCTATTTGAGTGACGGTTCTTGTAGGTGACATTTTCTGCCGACCAGGACTTGTCTGATCATGCAAATGTTCTTCTTCTGCTACCTCTTCAGGTATAGTCTCATGAAGATATTGATCATCATCATGATATCTGTCCAAAGACGTTCTGTCGCGCTCTACCAATTGATCGGAATCAGTCTTTTGGTAATCATCCTCGTAGGCACTTTCGTAGCTCGACGGGGGTAAATCGTCAGGCGCTTCGGGCAACGTTCGCGTTCGGCGCACAGGGGGTCTTTGTATAGACTCCTGTCTTTTCAATGACGGAGTTCGTGGCAAAGCCACTGGTGCAGTAGTGGTTGCAGATGCTGACAGTGATGGCGATACTTCTGGGACGGATGCAAATGGCACTGAGGTTACACTAGTAAAAGGCGTTACGGGTGCTGTAGCTGAAGTGTAATGGCTAACCGGAGCAGTTGTTGCTGGTACGTGTGCTGGAGCCTGACTTATGGCTGGAGCGACAGCGGCGGCTGCAGCACCGAATAAACTGCCGAGTTTTTTGGCACCACCTGCCATTAAAGATCCTAAGGTAGCCGCTCCTGTAAGGACTGTTGTCTGCAGTTGCTGTGCAGGTTGCTGTTTCTGTTGTTGCTGTTGCAATTGCTGCTGTTGCAAATGCTGTTGCTGTTGTTGGAATTTCTGCTGTTGCTGCAATTGAAGTTGTTGTTGCTGGTGCTGTTTTTGTTGTTCAAATTGTTGTTGTTGCTTCTGGAACTCCTGTTGTTGCTGCTGATACTGATTTTGTTGATGGTAGTCTTGCTGGTCATTATACAGCTCCTCCCCATATTGCTGTTTTTGCTGATCCTCTTGATATTGATATTGATAATCGTAAGATTGTTGTTGAAAATCAGTCTGATCTTGATACTCATCAAGATATTGTTCTTGTTTATTGTACTGTTGGTTAAACTGTTGCTCTTCATATTGTTGATAACTAGTATCTTCATATTGCTGATAGGAAGTATCTTGATATTCCGAGTAACTGGTATCTTGTTGTGTTGTCACAGGTGGTTGAGGCAAATACGACGATATTGTCGACGGCATAGTCTTTGATATTAAATTGTCCTCACCGCTAATCACAGCATAAGGGAACTGAGTATCCGTTTCGCTCCACGGCTTTTGAGCTGAAATTTTAAAGAAAATATTAAAAACATTATATGCAAATTCTTCACAAATAACATTGACGAGTTGGCACGTCATTTCTGGATGTTGGTAAACAACTGATTGAAAAGCTATATTTAAAACAACCGGAAGCATTTATCATTTATGTAACTGCGATTTAAATACCGCTAATAAAATATGGCAATCCTTTTCATTTAAATATTAAAGAGCTATTTACGGAATAATCTAATCGTTTTAAAATAGGTCATTACCAGCAGGCGGAGTAGCGTGAGGCGTCTCATCGAAAAACGGTTGCATTCCATCCTCGTCATAACTGCAAAAAAACCAATACAAAACAGAGCTTTGAAATCAGTCCATCCGTTTGGGAGCTACAATGCCAAAGACAAAAATTTCAAACTTACAACTCCCCTCTCTTTGCGTCCGAGGTTTAAAAAGCGTATGAAATAAAGCTACAGTCCATTTCACATAGCATGGGCAGGGTGACATTTGAGTTTTGAAGTTTCTAGAGATGTAGTGATATAAAATCGAATTAAAAAGTTAGTTAGTTGGTAACGAAGAGATAATCGATTTAGAGACAATAGTTTAAGAACAAATAATAAACAAAATAAAAATTATTCAATTATTATGTTATCAAGTTACTAATAAACTACACAACAAATTACAAAACCAACAATAACTAAACAAAAAGTCTACAAAAACGCACAAAAACAGCAATGAAAAGGAATTACTCCAAAACATCACGCAAAGCTCTAAACGAAAGAAAAGGACCTGCATTGAAGGTGTGCACACATATTGACGAGTGGATACGCAATGGCCGATTCGATTTATTGATTCTATGGTGTAAATCTCTATGGATAAATATTCCGTTTTACGCATCAAGTAGTTGGGGTAATTTATTTTTATCTTTATCATTTCAGTTTCTATCTACCTAATTGTTACTTAAATTTACAATTTCTTTTTGTAACCTGATTGCGAGAGTAATTAAAAATAGTACGCATGCAACGTAAAATTTGAAATGTAACAGTACCCATCCTATGTGAAATGTACTATAGTGTATCCATTTTCATATCAAATGCAATTTTGTCATATTACTGCCACGTATATTTTTATCTACTACATGTATACACGCATTAGGCCTTTGTGTATCTACACAAACAAAGGCTTCAAACTTAAAAACTCCTTTCTTTTTACGTTGAGCATCATAAGTTAAATTATATCTCATAACTAATTAAAGTTTGAAGGTTTAAAGTTGTTTGAAACTTTTTAATTTGTTGTAGTTAGTAGTGATCATATAAGCCTTATTTGCCATCTTGTGGATTGAACATCATTTGCACGCCATACTTACGTAGTATTATAATTATTATCTTGATAATGGTCAGTGGCAGTGGCCTGGTAGTCCGTTTGATACCCAAACTTGTCAAAATTGTAGTCTGCTATAGATTTTTTAGGTTCTGAAAGAAACAACATCGCCTTAGTACAGATACTTTAGAAGAAATTCTTTAGCTGGATGTATAATGTAGTGTACGTAAGATAGACCGAGTAATGAACTTAAATGCCCCCGCCCACTGGGCTACTACTCGTGACCAATAAACACAACCACTAGTGGCTGAGCTAAGCCACTAGACGCGGCCACCAGTCGCAACCATTAGTTGCTGGACGCGGCCACTAGTGGCTGGATACGGTCAATGGTCGCGGCCACTATTGTGGTATATTACGGGTCAAGAACACGCTACAAGTTGCTATAACGACACCTTTTGCGGGCGGGGAGAAACCGGTCGACTGTGGCCAAGTGTGCACGGGAGGCGAGCGAAGTATATGGAAATGGAAAGTGCGCGAAACCGGGTTCATCCCCTAGTTTGACACTCACAGAGGTGGAATATTTTCTTCAAATTTAAATGGGACAAATATGGAGGTACCCTATTTCCAACAAACAAAATCGGTTCATAAATGAGTTATCGCCGAACATACATATCCAAAAAAATACAGTCGAATTGAGGTCTTCCTTCTTTTTTTGAAGTCAGTTAAAAAATAAACATTATTCGCATGCTGTTTACACATAATTTTGACTTAGGACAGTATTTAGTTTCATGACGTATCGTGTTTGCATTCAAGAATATTGAATTCTATGGAATTGAAGGCGGTGCAGCAATAAAGGACATCCGGCTGATAATGAAAATTACTGAAATTGCAGAATACTGCAAACTTGTTGTAATTATAATAAACCCACCGGGTACGTAAGGCACGGTGTGCGTGATGAGCGGCGCGGGTGGCGGATACGGAGCGCGAGGCAGGCGGCGCCCGCGCCCGCTGCGTATCGAGCCCGACTCGCTGCCCGGCGGCTGAGGCAGCACTCGCCCGCGCTTTGGTGTTGATGAAGGCGTGGCTGAAACAGAAACAGATATTAACAGTGCCATGTTGATTATACTAGATATCCTCCGGCCCTTCCAGCTATTTAGGTTATTGGGAACTGGAGAGACGCCATTTATCGGCGTCGGGAAGTGAACGTGTCTGCAGCTCTGCCGCCAAAGAAGACATTTGGTAGCGTAAACGGCTTCGCGGTGGCAACCGTTAGTTGCTCAATGCGCAACGGGAAGTGAGCCTACAACTCCGGTACCTATCTGGAAAATATAGATGGTACCGTACACTTTTTTTTCACCTGGTTTTGTAGTTCTGATTAAAGTAAGTTTTTTTTTTATAACACCAAGTGGCGGGACGAACCAGTCGTGCGCCTAGTGGCAAGCGACACGCCTTTCCACGACAGTTGCAGCACTCACAGCTAAGATCTTATGGACACTACCACTACGCTCGTTACCCTGAACGGTCCAAAATCCACAAAAATATTATTGTTGCTTATTAAGTAATAAAAAATAAACATAAAATAATATCAGTACAGAGTACTAAAAAAAAGCCGACCACAAAAGTTCGTTGAATTACGTCTATTTGCCAAGTTTTATTGAAATCGGTTATCGGACGGTGCGCGGAACTGGATTCATTCCCTGGGCCACCCTTAGTGGTGGAATATTTTCTTCAAATTTAAATGGGACCACTACTGAGGTACCCTCTTTCCAACAAAAAAGATTCGGTTCACAAACCGGACTAACCGCGTAACATAGATACAACAAAAAAGAAAAAATACAGTCGAATGAGAACCTCCTCCTTTCTTCTAAGTCAGTTAAAAAATTAAAAAATATTCGTTGACGTCTTGAGTTACAATAATACGTTTTAAGATGAGAAACTTGGAATCAAAGTTGACTTACTATAGTAAAGAAACTTTAATCCGAAAAGGTGAAAACTTTGAATTACTTTTTACATAAACAAAGTTAGAATATTATATTATATATAATCCATTTTGGACAGGTACTTTTAAATAACGTAACCAAGGTATTTGAAATTGCGTGTTTGCACACGCAATTTCAAATACCTTGGTTACGTTACGTTACGTTTATCATTACCTAGTTAATAATTAGGTATATTCAATACATAATATTTATGGGTAATACAAATTGAAAATTCGCGAACCCTTTACTAGCTCGCGAAGTTATGGCGTCGTATTATATTGATATAATAAATCTGTATTATATATCACTTTGCACTAAATAAATGAAGAAAACAATAACTGAATGAGTCTCAGACATAAGTTTTTTTTTACTTACTTCGTTTCACCTTTCAGAAATCGAAAGAAACTCCTCTCTTTATCCCTTTTAGATGATGATAAACAGTCGTAGGTATACAGCACAATTTACAAACATTATAATTAGTAACGTAAAATGATGTTATATATTAACATACAAGTTTCGTAATGAATAAATGAAAACTATACTCAAATATCACAGCCGTCTTAGCGCGAAAACGGCTCGCCGACAGCCTTGTTATCGTTCAGTCAATGTGACCGTCAATGTACGGGGCGTGGTGCGGTATCTAAAGCTAGGGAGGGGCGGAGAGTGTCCGTTCCCGTTACTTTTTCGTTCTCTGGTAGTAGTCTTATCGAATTGTTACTGATCGGTATTGCTAAACACCGAGCGACAAAACGCTCTTTGTACATAAAGGTACAATTGTAATATAAATAAATACATAAAATGTTTCTTTATTTAGGTATACACCCATTAATGAATTTAACACTATTAATTACATTACGTTACATTACATTACATAACCAATTAAATTGAATTTTATTTACCGAATATTATAATTATTAACGAAGTAAATAATTAAGAATTACATTAAATTGAATTGAATTCACATTAGAAATAATAGCATAACAGTAATTAATTTATTTAAATTTTAAAAGTGGAGTGGTCTCTTACAAAGTAGCACGCATCGCATACTGTTCCTACAATTATATTGGCCGAATCGCTCACTCTCACAAGAAAAGACCAATATCTCTTCCATCTCTTCCATATTATAACTAAGGGTAATTTCTGTAATAATACAAACCTGGAAGGCTAGCAGCTGTACGTCCCGGCCGCGGTCTATATGGCGTCATCTCATTGTGATCCGAGTAACGAGATGACGGCGGCCGCTGAAACAAATTGCGATACTCTTTAGCGAAGAGTTCTAACATGTAAACAGAGATGGCGTTGAATGATGCACCATAAAAACTTGCAAATGCACCGCATAATTTTGGCCGTCTTAATGTCGGTCTAGAATTGTTTATATTAAATCAACAAATTACGATTTATTATTCTGTTCAAAAAAATCGTAGACAATGTCACGTAGGTCTTTTTTACAATTTTGGAGGTTACGCTAGATTAGGTTTTAGAGAAAAATTGCCAAACCAACTCTGCCCGTATTCCTATATAGCAAATAAGAGGGTAGAAGAAACGGAACGGAACTAGGGTAGAACTTGAGATCGAATGCCGTTTAATCAAACATTAATTGCTCGAAAACGTTTACTCATTTGTCCATTATATGTATAAATCGGGAGCTCAAGGTTTACCATATCGACGCATCAAAATCCCCAAAGAACATGTGCTCTGACCATTAACAGCTAAAAAGCGATTTCTCAAATATAATATAATAATCTACAGTAAGTAGGCATTATATACTATGCGTAGGTACTTCACTAAAATCGATTTTAAATATTGCTTTTACCTAAATAAAATCCAAAGATCTCTCGAGAAATCGCTTATTTGGTTGTTAATCGTTAGAGCACGTGTTCTTTGGGGATTTTGATGCGTCGATGTGGCAAAGCTTAGAGCTCAAAATTTATAGGTCGAATGGTCAAGAACCTGCGTATTCACAATGACAGAAGACAAAACACTGTAACTTAATACTACAGCGTACATCCTTACTACCGTGTGCGTAAACATACCTGTTTAGACGGAATCTGAGGTAACTGCACAACAGACGATCGTCTTTTATTAATAATATTCTCATATTCAGTCGGCGTGAGGCCATAACCGTCGTCAAAGAAGTATTGCCCCCTGCTGTCCCACTGCCTTGTGTCATCGCCAACGTACGACGTCTGATAAGCAAAGTTGCTAGAGTCGAAGTACTCCTCGTAACTATGTTGTTGTGATAAATGTGAGTGGTCCCTGAAATCATAGAGAGACCTTATTAATGAATAGAAAGGAGAACAATCAATCGAATTAATGATTACATGTTACAGTCGTGGATAAGCACAGTATGAACGAAAATTCTTTCAAGATTATGGCCTATAAAATCATAGCATGTAAGATCTGGGCCTCTATCTTGCCTGATGACAAAATATAAAAAAACATGGGAGAAATGAAAGTGAGTTATTAATACAAATATCGAACACTTAGACAAAACTGCGTGACGAAATACGATCATAGATTTCTTATAGATGGCGCTACGGCTAGAAAGTCGTTGAAAACCAAATACAAAGATCCGACAACAATCGCGTGGAAACATTCGTGAGGTCCGCTGGCTCGTTCCGTGGTTTTGTTGGCATAGCGTCTGACACGATTTGCTAGGAGACGTCGGTTCGAATTCGTCGATCTTTGTATTAATAATTATAACAAACTAGTGGAGTAATTTCACAAAAAAATCAATATCATGATGGTGAAACATTCTGACATTCAATAAAAATTTAATTATAGTGAGTTAATTTCACGAAGTGGTTTAGCTGATGCAGTTCCGAGACAACTTTTAAACGTTGAAGTACCTATGCAACGTTTAGTAAACATTGTAAATCAAACGAATATAGGTTGCATTGCTACTTCACCATAAAGGCGCCTGGTGCATATTGTCTTTTTCTGTTATGTGTACATTGATGTTCTGGTTTTGATTCACCATTAACATACGTAAAAGCGTGGTGACTGGGGTGGTTAAAACTTTCGCGTCGTAAAACTGGGCACTTATAGTTGCGCGCGCGTGTCACGACGGTGACACTTCAACTATTGCATGAAAACTAGTAGCGCCGCTACAGCCACAGTGGCGCCGCTGTAGCACTTTTATAAGCGTCCAATTTGAAAGCGTGGAATCCCTTACTGTGGGATCAGGTAAATGGTGTAGTTATTAGGTGAGGCGATTCTTACCTAATGTGCGTACTAGTTGTGTAGCTGTCGTACCCGAAGCCCATCCCGTCGTCGTACAAAGTGTTCTGCCGTTCCAGACTTGGCCGTCTTTGTTCTTCTATAAATGACAAAACAATATAATAATAATGTGAACGTTTTTTTAACAGACTTTAAAAAAGAAGGACATTCTCGAGTCGACCGCATTTTTTCAGTATTGGTCCCGTTTAAATTTAAAGAAAATATTCAAAATATTTTTTTTATATAAAAAATTAAATAGAGTCAGTTTGTAGAAACACATAAGCAAAGTTTGAAGCCGGTTCCTTTTTCTTTTATAAAAAATATAGTTATAAACAATACAATTCATACAAAATTATATTTAAATTCTTCGTAAATATGTTTAATTGCCTCCATGGCCGAACGGTCACCATGCTGGTCTGCCACGCAGAGGTTCCGAGTTCGATTCCAGGGCAGGGATAAATATTTGTATGGCTTACTTTTATTTCTCTTGTGAATATGAATACGTGAGCCACACTATAAATTTCCGGAATGAATAAGAAAAAAATATTATAAATAAATTCAGAGTCAGAAATAAATTTATTGTTTCTCAAAATATTCTCCGTTGGCGTTAATGCACTTTTTCATATGAATGAACCAATTTTGAAAACATTTATGCCACTCCTCCGTGACAATATCTGAAACATATTTTTCATACTCTTCGACAGCCTCTTCAGGTGATGAAAATCGTTGACCGCGTAACTGGTTCTTAATTTTTGGGAAATAAATAAAAATCTCAAGACTCATAAGGTCAACGTTGTACACCTTCAAAAATTAATTTGTCTGTCTGCCCGTGTGAAAACTGGCGTTATCGTGGTGCAAGATGATACGGCGTTTACGCTTATTTTTAAGGAGTTTGTCAATAACTTCCGGCAAAAAAATGGTGGTGTACCAATCACTATTCATGGTACGACGATTCTCCAAAGCCACGTGTCCAGTTTTATTAAAAAAGAAGCAGTCATCCGCTTAGAGGCACTTTGCACGCGCACCACTTTGGTTGGTTTCGGCTCGAAAGACCCATACGCTCGATTGCTGCTTTGTTTTGGGATCGTAACTATAAATTCATGTTTCGTCACCTGTTATTATGTCCCACACCAAATTTGACGCCCCTTCGTTAAATCTGGTAAGCATCGCATTGCACCAAGCGACGATCGATCCGTTTTTTGAGCCTCAGTCAAATTGTGTGGGATCCACCGAGAGCACAGCTTATTCACACCTAAATGTTTGTGTAGTACTGATTGTATTTGACTTATGCCTATGCTTAAAGATGACAATCTCATGGTAGGTCACATGCCCGTGTGTTTTGATCATACGGCGCACAGCATCGATGTTTTTGTTGTTCACAGCAGTGGAGGGGCGACCATCACGAAATTCGTCACTAAGATTCACACGACTGCGTTTGAATTCTGCAAACCAGCTATAAATAGTCGTCTTGCATGGTGCTTCATCGCCAAAAGCAGTTTGAAGCCGAGGGAAGCTCCGCTGAGCTGTTAAATTACACTTGATGTCGTAGAAAATCATACTACGAAAATTTTCTCGAGTTAAATTCATGGTGGAGTAGACAACTAATTTCTAAAATGACGCCATAATGTAAAGACAACTGCTCCATTCAGAGCTCCATTTCACATCAGAAGGTTTTAATATGATTAAGTACCAGAAATTACTAAAGTTAATAATTTAACAAAAATAATAAATTTTCTCCAATAATTTTATTTGATCCAGTCGCAAAATAAAAATTGCAATTTCCAGTTACGAAACATTCATACACAATGTATGCTTTTGTAATCGTACTGTACCGTATATACTATCTACAAACTCGTTGCAGTCGCACCACAAGGGTTCTTTTTCCGTGCTGGCAACGTTGGAACAGTTACAACTTGAAGCTTGCTTATTCTTGTTAACCAATGGCGATTAAGGAGTTAACCATTTCTTTGGGCAGTGAAATTTGAAGTAATTCATTTTATTTTAATTTTTTTTATTATTTATTAAATTTTATTAAATTTTTGTAGCAGCATGCTCCATGTGAAGGAGTTCGTCCAGGGAAGTACTGCCACCTTACCTATTTCTGCCGCGAAGCAGTAACGTGCGCATTACTGCGTTCCGGTTTCAAAGGATAGATTGTTGATACCGTCTTATCGAAATCTTTATGGTAAAAGTAAATTAAAATACATAATACCTTACATAATAAACGAAATTCCTAAGGAAATAAAAATATCGTTAAATTGTAAAAACATCAAACCTAAATTAAAAAATTACTTTTTAGAAAAAATAAAAATTAATTCGTGATTGAAATATATAATAATTATAACCTTCTAATTTTAACTAACAACATACATAGGTGTTAACCTTAAATGTATTATTAAAGTACTGTTCACAACCATTTATTAGAATAGACTCGTGTTCAGCGGTGGGATGTACATACAAGGATCAAGATTTAGTGACAACCTTTATTAACAACTTTCAAGCACACTAGAGGAATGTCAACACGCAGCAGTACGAACGCACACAGAAATTATTTGTACGACGAATGAGCGATACACGGAAAAACTTAGTTAAGTTTATGTTATACTGGTATGTTTTGTTTCTTTAGTGCTTTAAATGTAACAAATAAAAAATAAGTGTAAGGGTGCTGGTGAAATTACAGGCACATGGGACTTTTCAACTTATGTCTCAGGGTGATGGGCGCAGAGGCAGTGCACCTCAGATCTTTGCGGCTATCAGGCGCACGACTTATTCGTCGCATCACTTAGTGTCATAAAAAATAAAAAAATAAAAATGTACATTCTTTTAAGGAATATTAACAAAAGATTTTCAAAACAAAAGGTCAGCAAAGTAACATGCGGGCTAGCTAATCTCAGCTTAAAAACAAAATGGCAGTTTGCTGTTAGTACATTGCTTTCTATTTCGTACCATTAATATGTATAAGTATCTTGGTACGCAACGCTCTACTTAACTTATATTCAATCTAAAATGACATTTATATATTCCTTCAATTGGACTGTTGTAGTCCTTACTAGGTTTTTTTTATTTAATAATTACAAAAACATTAACACGGTTTTACTGTACACTCTTAAACCTAAACAGATTTGTATGAGTGTTGCAACTCCTCTAACATAATATATAAAATAACAATTTTATTAAATGTACACAATACACGAAAAAAAAAAATGTAATGAAGGTATAACGCAAATTAATATTAACAAAAAGTTATGCAAGCCACCGATTTACCGCCGCATCAGAGCACTGCAAGGAAACCAGTTCTACTCTCAGCGCTATACGCGCGCATACAGGCTATTCAAAATCAATATATAATGTGCCACTACTACGCATGGATTACTTATAGGAAAAAGAAAAATGAAGATAATAAATATGTACTGTAAATATTATTATTAAGGTTAAAAGTAAAGACTGCAAACATTTTTGGTCCCTTATAGCCTCTATAAATCTCAATATAAATCTGTTTTCGTATAAACACCCCTACGTTATGGATATTCACATATACGGCTATGGAGTAGAATTGCCTACCTGCAGACTTATTTCCTAAACGCTATAACTTGGGCCTTTTCAAAGCGAGAGTGTATAGGCGTTATTTAGATGCTCACATACTTAAAAAATCAACTTACCTCCAGACTGCCAATCTGCCGCTGTTCTCCACGATACGGCTGACTCTACACTTGCCTGCGCGTGGAGTTGCGACCACGTTTCTATCCTGAAAGTGATAAAAACTTGAATTCAATTTCAACATTACCAGTAATCGTCCGCTTTATTAAAAAAGTTTTTTTATTTAATCATTTATTCCACAGGAATTATTTTTTTTACTATTTATTTTTCAAACATTCCAGAAGATAGATTGGTAAATGGCTAAAGTGTTTAAAATACGTAAACGCATATGGAAACACAATTACAATGTAATTTTTTGAGACAATAATTTGTAGCAAAAACTTAATAGGAAATAATAATTTCTCGCCAATGTACCTACTCAAATTTCAATAAATAATACGCATATTGAAACATATTCAGTTCCGAAATTTTCCAGGATTTATAGAAGGGAATGTCCTCTTTAGCTAAATTAAGTCCCTCAATTCCGATCCCAGGTTATAAGTGACGTAACGGCCTAAAGTACCGGTACGCTGATGGCCGTTTTAACGTATGTCCGCTCGTCAACTTTCGTATTAATAACTACGTTGAAGGAGCTAATTGATGTACATTGTCAACATAGACGTGTAGTAAAATTTATAGATGTGTAATTTTACTACACAACTCGGCATTTGTTTTTCGAAATTCGAAATTTTTAAGAATGAAATCTAATTTAACGATTAAAATAACGATTTATAGGATCGCTGACAAGCACAACTACTACCTTCGGCAAAGTCGTGTCAAAGCTCAATGCAAATCAAAGCTGTTTCGAATTGAAGATATATTAAGTAAACATTTTTATTTTCGTTTTATTAAAACTTTTTAATCAGCTACGCCTTGCAATACTAATTATAAATCCAAAAACTTACAGATACGACTCGCAAATCAAATATTACATTTTTTTCTATAATGAATTGAGATTTGACCTCACTATTGTAATCTGTCAAAACGTGGAATAAATGTGGTAATTTATTATTAGTTATTCATGGTCAATCGTCGACATTGTCACTTTAAATTAAATTAAATTAAGGACAAATGCGCTCATTTTTTTTTGTAAAAAAAATGGCTGCCGTATACGAATATCGATGAAAATATTTTACTTACCTATTAGTTCTAGGCTGGCTATTGTAGTAGAGCGGATCAGTATCGCCGTGTATGTGATACTCTTCGCGCTCGTACGAATTCTCTCTCGACACTTCTAACGATCTCTGTAATTTTATAGAAAAAAAAATCAATATTAATACAAGTTTCAGATTGCCAAAAGAAAAACATTTAAAAAATATCAAACTTTAATCTATTCTGTATTGACCATGTTGATTTACAATCTTTTACCATCTTTCGAGTAATTTTAGAGTGTCCCTTTTATAAAAAATCCTGTCATTACTTTTAAAATACAGCTCAGTCCTTTGAAGATCTGTTCGTTATTAAAATCGTGTCCATTCAACGAATTTTGTAAAGATCGAAACAAGTGACAATCTGAATCGACTTTGTCGGACGAAGACGGTGAATTGTGAGCTTTGTAAATTGGTGTGTGACACCAGCGATTCACCAGCTCGCGTGAGTCATGAATTATAAACTTAAAGCTTTCCCGCCTATTGTTAGATAGTTGTAAGATTTCTCGTCCTTCGGACAGGCTAAGGCTTATTTAACAACAAAAAAATAATGAAACTAATATTAGATAATAATAGAATAATTAAACATTATTTAAACATAAAAATTAAATGACATTATTTGAAAATATCTTTATTACCTTTAAGAAAAGATACTTATACGTATGGTCCTCGCATGTTATTGAACATAGTAACATTTGTGAAAATCTTTCTTGTTTTTTATAATATCAATTGACAGGATGAAGAAGTCGTGTGCCTGGTGATAAGCTACACACATGGCCATAATAGTTGCAGTGCCACTCAGAGCTTTAAATCACAAAGATCTTAGTGGCACTGCCACTGCGTCACCCTGAGACATAGTTGACAAGTCCCATGTGTCTGTAATTTCACTAGCACCAGTTGTTTCAAAACACCGTTCAAAACAGAAACACAGTAATGCTGACATTACTGATTGACGGCCGAAATAGGTAAGGTGGCAGTACTAACCTGGACGAACTCTTTCACAAGGAGCTCTACTGCTACTAACTAAAATTTTTGAGTTGATCCTCCTGATCATCCTAATCAATGAAATATTAATAATTGTATAAGAAAAAAATTATATATTACGTGTACGACTTGTTTGTTGTCCTAAGTGAATAAACAAATAACATAATATATATAAAAATATATAAATAATAAATAAGTGAATAAAAAGATTATGGAAACTTGTTATTTCACCTGTGGCGTGTGCATCTGGTGTGCCGCGCTCCGGAATTGCGATGCGCTGCAGTTCGCGTGCTGTCCCACTGGATAGTTCAAGTCCGACGTATAGTCGGAGTCCTCCGAATATCCCGCTGTAATCGTAAATGAAATTTAATTAAATTTCAACATCACATTCATAGATCGCATGAGGGAAAATATATTTACCTAAACTATATAGTGGAATTCCTATTTGTTATTATGGAAGTAATATGTTTAGTTCACATCCCTATATACCTTGCGATGCCAAGTGTCAAACGGTGCCGCTTATTTTATGACGGCTGTAGTTTCAAACCTCACCTCGATTTCACTCGTTTCCCATACCAATACGGTTCTTTTTGCTTGGGTGGAGCGGTAGTGAAATTAAAGCTATTTAAAAAATGTATGAGTTGTTTCACATGACGACTTTTAGCAGCGATGCAAACGCGCTTTCGTGAAACGCGCGATTGCATCGCTACACTTGCGATTTATATGCCATTATTGTATCGATGCAAACGCGCAACTGCATCGATACAAATGCGCGATTGCGATATCGCCTATAAAGTATAGTGATGCAGTTACGGGCTTGCATCGCGTTTGCATCGTTGCTTAAAATCGCGCGCGTGTGTAAAGGTAGACGATTAGCGACTGCATCGCTACTGCATCGCGTTTGCATGACGTTTGCATCGCTGCTAAATATCGCCGTGTGTAACCGCTCTATATCGTACAATATAAGTATTCTGTTTAGTTCAGTTGATATAAAAAATCATTGGTATATGTAAAGTACTTATTAAATACAGCGGTTTTCTTGTAAAATTTCGTGGAAGGTTTGTGTTTTTTAAATCGTGAAAATTTTTAGAAATCGTGTTTTCACACCGTATAATAATTAGTGTATATGCTCAATTTTACTAACCATTTTTTCCAAATATATGATAAATTCAACGATATAATAATAATAATGATAGATTCAACACTTTCACTATTATGTGAAATCAACCAAAACCATTTGAGGTTGTATAGAGTCTTAAGTGGATGTAATAGCATCGCTCTTTGCGCTTCGAAAAAAAAAAACAACTTCTAAGGGGGTCTTCAAATTAGATGCTTGTAGAAGCGCTACTATGGCGCGACTGTGACGCAGCAGCCGCCCGTCTGTAGCGCTTCAGTAGTTTTTGGGTCACTATAATCCATTTCATATAGGATGAGTTCTAGGACATTCCAAATGTTTACGTTGCACGCATACTATTTCCAACTAATCTCTCATCCAGGTTACAAAATGATATATTAAATTTGTATATGTCCGTAATGTACCAAAAACAAACAATATCTTGCAAATATATTGCAATTGTAATTTTAAATAAAAATTACAGTATGTGAAGTAACTCGAAAATTAAATGACGCATATAAAATTAATTACCCCAATTGCTTGATGCGTAAAACGGAATATTTATCCGTAGAGATTTACACCATAAAATCGATAACACGAATATATCTCTCGAGTATTGAGGCGAGATACAGCTATAGCTATTGAGTGTCTCGGCTCAATACGAGTGCATACATTTTGTATGCGGGTCGTTTTTTTTTTAATTTTGAACATTACGTGATATTTTTGGAGTAATTCTTCAAATTTCGTTTCGTTGCAGTTGATTTTATGATTTGTTGTTGACTTTCTGTTTGGTTGTTCTTGATTTTTTATTTGTTGTGTAGATTTTTAGTACCTTAATAACATAATAATTGAATACTTTTTAATAATTTTGTTAATAAACAATTAATATAATTTGTTCTTATATTATTTACTGTAAATAGATTTTTCCTTCGTCACAAATTATCTCGATAAGACATTTAAATCGATTTTTTTCATTCGATTTTACATTATCACATCTCTAGAAACTTCAAATCTCAAACGTCTCAGGAATCATGCTATGTGAAATGAACTATAATTGTGTGTGTAACGCCGGAATGGTTCCACTACAGGACTTCAATAAGCATCCAACTTGAAGGCGCCATAAACTCTTTGGAAAGAACCAATACTGGTCCAAGGAACACACTTTTACAACGTTTGGTTTCTCTATGTAAAGACGTACTTATCACCCTTCAATCTTGTAATGATATACAGATAATGGTAAAAATCTTAAACCCGCATATAAAAACTCACGACACGGCTATAGTTACAATTTACAAAAAGGAAAGGGTACAAAGACTGTTTTTTATGGTAAATAGCTTTTGGTGCTACGTCGTTTGAATACTGATGCTGTTTTGTTTGAAACTACAGCTAAAGCTTCTAGATAAATCTTCGAAAATTTAGTAAATTCCTATCATGGTTCTGAATTTCAAATAAATTATTTTTTTCTTGTTGAAGTATAATACAAAATCTCAGCTGTAACTTATAATAGTACACAAAAACAAACAACACTTCAATATCATAGATTAATAAGCAACAGAGTGTTCTGACTACACAATAACAAAGTAGGGATTATATGGTCACTACTGAAAAAATATAAAAAACTAGGCAATATGGTCTAAAGAACTTTGCCTTTACGCAAGGAAAAGTACATAACATAACATCAATAATTTCAACAACTCGACTGTATTTTTCTCTTTTACTTAATTTGTTTTTATTACTAATATTAACTACTAAGAATAATAATTCTAAACAATAAGCGGAAAGCCCCTGGCTCAAAGCAAAATTAATTGTTATGGCTTTACGTTAATTCCCCAACTATGGATAAATATCATTGGTAAACACTCAATGTTAATCTGCCTGCCTGTCTGCACTACGGCACTGATACTCTTTGACAAAATTTATCATTAAAACAAAAGGCTATCACCGCTGCGAATGTTCTTGTATGGATGAAGGCTGCCTTTCCACCAGAGATGTGCAAGGTAGCGAAGCGGTGCGAGGGTATTCAGCGACGCTGTGCGAGGATGCGTTACGGTCTCTTTTCAGCTATGCGCGGGCGGAGTACGGTGTGGTGGGCGGTGGCGATGTGTTAGTGTCAGATAGTGTCATACTTTCAGTTGCTCTACTTTCCTACACCGTTTGGCATACATTCCTCGCCCGCAACCCTCGTACACATCCTCGCTATTTTGTATGTACAAACACTTAGCTTCGCTAACCCTTTTCCACCGGAACTGCCCTAAGCGAGGCTAGTAAAGTGAAGTAATCCTATTGGTGGATTTTTTTCTCTCACAACGCCTCTCAACGTCGCACATCTCTGGTGGAAAGGCAGCCTTAAGTCGTTGCATAAACGTTTGTCTGTTTGTCTAACTGTATATCTGGTAACTCGTAGCTCCAAAAGAATGGCTTGATCTCAAAGTGTTTTTTATTTATTTTTGTTTGGAGGCTAATTTAATCGTTATGATTCTTAGCTGTTTATGAACATATGTTCAGCTGTTTATAAAGTTCATCAGCTCTTTACTTAGTTGGTTTAGAGATGATCTCGGGCGTAAAATGAATTTCGATATCGATTTGATATCAATACAATATTATGGTATCTTCGACCTGATACTGCAACCAGGACTGCAAATTACCCAATTTTTCGACTACTGTTGAACTCATTAAATTGGTCTCGACGAGTTGTTCGCTTACGGATGGTAACTCAATTGAAATTTTTGGAGTTCACTGTTTCGTATCGATGTTCCTTAAATTTAAATTTATTATGTTGTGTAAATCGTGCGTGATATAGTATTTCCCGTTCAATCAGCATTAGGGAGGTCGTTTCTTTAATTTAAAGGTCAACTAAAACATTCAAAAAAATTCATTGTACTCACAGTGCGCTATGTACTGCATCTGCCGGCGAGCCTGCTCGGCACGCTCGGCGTCGAGCGCGAGCGTGCCGTTCAACAAGTCTAGTTTGCGCTGTAGGTCCGCGCCGGCCGTGCCTTCTGCATCTGAAACAAACAATTTATAAACTTTAATGCGATACACAAAAAAAATCAAGTTAAGACGACTTTGAATGGTATCACAGGTTTCCGAATAGATTTTTTTATGAAGGGACGAACAAGTTGTGCGCCCGGCGGTGAGCGACACGCTTATCCGTAGCGGTTGCATGGCCACTCAGAGCTTTAAATCACAAATATCTGAGAGGCACTGCCTCTGCGCCCGTCACCGTGAGGCAAATGTTGACAAGCCCCATGTGCCTGTAATTTCACTACTTTGATTAATGCTCACATTACTAATAATAACTATAACAAAGAGCTCTACTGCAGTGCTGTTCTCTCAGCTATAGATAAAGAACTTGTACAAAAAACTACGACTACGAAAGTACCTATATTAAAATGAAGCTTTCACTTAGGTAATTACTAGGCGTTTAACCCCTAGCGGGTTTAATACACTTTCCGTGATGAAATTTCTTAGATTTAATTATTTCGTATTTCCCTTCAGACGTCATTGTTAGCTGGAGTACTTTACGATTATTCACCTGCTTTTATCTGCTTATATTTTGTTTTAACAATAAGCAAACTTTAAATGTTCTATTTGAATTCTATAATAAACAATGAGTCAATTACAAATATCCAATTTCCAACTAACTAACGAATTCCTGGGCCCTACTCTTAAAGCATAAACCCGTAGTTACGGTTGTGACGATGCGACCTCCTTCAACATCATCCCACCTTTTTATCACTCTCCTTTCTGGTACCTGGCCGGTTACATTTGAAATTTTGAATCGTTCTCTAATTCCTTTTCTTCGTTATTCTTACTTTGGTTCGGTCCGTCGTCACTCTCATCAAAACTCTCGAAGAGAAAGGTCGTGTGTATGGTTATCCTCAATCCACAATACTGTAAAAATCACGTATTTTAATTGCTTGAAAAGCATTGCATATACATTTTGTTTATTCATGTCTGACTCCTTCACTTTCCAATCATACGTCTCAGAGGGTCGATTGAAAACCTTACGATAACTCAGTTGTCGGCCGATTCCATTTCATATCGTACGATTTCTTTCATTTTTATTCACAATACCCGAATCGAATGTCAAATTGTCATATTCGAAACCGAAACCGAAATGACATCACACCCGTATGATTACTTGAACTTCTCGACCGGTAAAGACTACAAATGTTATTCAGAACACAGTTATCGAATGAAAGTTGCCGAACGTCCTATTGTTTACAAAGCAAGAATGTAACATGGAAATCTCTTATTAAGTAAAGTCTGGATTTTGTTCAATTTTATTAATTTATTTTAACATAAGACCAATGAATTCCTATATTTTAGGCCTTTAAAGTCTTAAAAATGTATATAAAAGGATTTTCATTTTTCTTATAATCTATTTCACCGACTAACTCCGTAAATGTTGTTGGATAACGACATCGTATCCGAATCCGAATCGAACGTTTAACTCGGAATGTTCTGAATAGCTCGCAAAGCGCCCTTCGAATCGAGAACGATATCCAATCGATCGAGTCGGTTAAAATATCGAAGAGTTCTGAATCGGAATCCTAGAATCTCTATCGAAGTCCATCAGAAGGTTTTCGTCTAGTATATTCTTTTTCAAAACAAATTTTCATGAACATCTTTTAAATTATTTGTAATAGCAATAACCACCATCATCATTTTATTGTATGGAACATAAATAATATGAATATATTAAGTTTGTTTGTTATGTACATGTATATGATTGTATATTTATTACATACAAGTTATTATTAACGTGATATTTTGTTTAATTTGCCGCATTCGTATTTTCGTTTTTATTAAAGGTTGTCTGGTAGAGAATTTTTTTAGCATTAAGTCCGCCTATTGTACCATTATGTGTTGTGGTTAATAAAGATTAATAAATAAATAAATATATATGAAGACAAGCCCTCTTGTGCCTTCGTGTTTTCCTTTTACCCCATTCTTTAATAAATTTTAAGTGGACTTCACTCTTTAATTTCGCCAAGACTGGGTGGGGTACACAGTTTTCCCACTAGGGATGATCTACGGAACTACCCTCGAAGTCCGCCGACGAAAAGGCGGGCCCGGTCGAAACGGTCGAAATCGCGTTGTGTTAGATTCTTAGTTCTAGCCCCATTCGAAACTCAATTCTGCAGGTCATCCAGAACGGGAAAACAGCCATAATTATTTCTCTAGTTTACCTAACGTATCCAGAACAAAAACAATTTAGAAAAGTACGTTTCCTTAACATCATATTCCTATCAGGAATCAAACCAGCTCGTCAAACGCCTAGATTGAACGGCTACGCCAGCGAAGTAATCCCGAAATGAAAAGGAAATTACATCTATTCCATTTACGTGATCCGTAAAAAAGTATTTATATTTAAGAATAATCTGATGTACATTAGATACGGAAGTTTTGTTAATTTCTCGTGCCGAACTGGATAAACATCTTAATTTGTGAAACCACTGGCTGTATAGAATTTGACGTGTAACCAAAATATTATAGGTACTTTTTCACTGTATCCAGCGAAACATTATGCATACAAACATACATATGAAGGCATATTATACAACTAACGTAAGAATATGGTAGCAGTAGAGCTCCTTGTGAAAGAGCTCGTCCAGGGAAGTACTGCCACCTTGCCTATTTCTGGCACCAAGCCGTAATATAAGCATTACTGAGGTACGATTTTGAAGGGTAAGGGTGTTGGTGAAGTTACAGGTACATGGCACTTTTTAACTTATGTCTCAGGGTGATGGGCGCATTGGCAATGCCCTCAGACGTGTACGCTTTAAAGCTCTGAGTAGCATTGAAACTGCTATGAACGAAAGTGGTATCTATCGCCCCGGAAGCAATTCGTGTATTGATGCTGTCCAGAAGGTGCTACTGCATTTGAAAGAAATCCTCAACTATCTATATAAACTACACTACACATCGCACATGACAACTAACATAGTATTATCTCAAAATTACTTTTATTTATATTAATATTACCTATTTAATTTCAAAGCGACAGTATTGTCCTGTCATTTTGAAATTAAATCGTATACGAATGACATAAATATAGCGAAATTTTGGAGATAAATTATTAATATAACGCAATTTTGAGACAAAATACAATATAAAGCCATTTTTAAGATAGTACTATGTTAGTTGTCAAGTGCGATATATATAATTTTTATTCCTTGTGATTTTTCGTGTTAATATCAAAAGTACGTGTTTTCAATTATTTTTTGTGGTGGTTGTCGTTGAAATATTTTTATCAAGCCTAAGTGGACGGTGAGTTAGGGAACTTACGCACTTAACGCAGGTCCTATTCGTTCTGTCACTAGGTGTCACAAAAAACAAATAATATACTTCTATGAACTAAGTTAGGTGTAATAATTAAGTCAGGGATAAGTTTTAGTAGGAGTAGAGCTCGTTGTGAAAGAATTCATCCAGGGAAGTGCTGCCACCTTACCTATTTCTGCCGCCAAGCAGTAATGTCAGCTTTACTGTGTTCCGGTTTTCAAGGGTAAGGGTGCTGGTGAAATTACAGGCATATGAGACTTGTCAACTTACGTCTCAGGGTGACGGGCGCAGTGGCAGTACCCCTCAGATCTTTGCGATTTAAAGCTCAGAGTGGCACTGCTAGTGTTATGGACAGGCGTGTAGCTTACCATCAGGCGCATGACTTGTTCCTCCCGTCACTTGATATCATAAAAACAAAATATTAAATGCGGTGATAGTTAAAGTACACTGAGATCGAAAAAACTGAGACGAAAATCCCCAATGAGAATGAAAACCAGGACTTTCTGTACAGGAAACAAGCAATCTCCCTACAAACCATTGCTGGTTTGTGAAATACTAATAAATTACAATCCTGACTAAAAGAAAATAACTAAATTCCATAAAACTCGTTTTCTTCACTTGCAGCACAGTTGTGGAACAGACTCCCTTCCCATATCCTATCTAGCCCGTCTATCCCTTCTTTCAAGAAAAGGTTGAAAGCGTACTTTCTTGATGAACTCTCTTTGTAATCATCTTATTGTTTTTTTATATACTTATTTATGTATATACTTGTGTACCTATGTGTATATTTATGTGTATATATATTAAACCATATACATATTGACGCTATTTATTATGATTAATTATACTTACATATTATAATCATAATACTTACTTATTATAATTAATCATAATTAAGTGTTGGTGTTTTTTTTATTTATGTAGTTTACTACATTTTATTATTTTCTCATTCTCTCTTGTACGCTATTGCCCGCTTAAAACTCTCTCACTGCCCTGGGTTGGCTGGAAGAGATCTCTTTTAGAGATAAGTCTACACTGCTCACTTTCTGTTAACCTAATATTAATGTTGTGTTTTGTGGAATAAAGAATATTATATAAAACTTGTTAAAAGAACGTTAACTGATTTTTTTAACACGTAAATCGTTGATTTTTAAACTGTTTTCATAGTTTTCGCAAAGAGGTCGCCATTAGCGTGCTAGTCGTAAATAACTTGTAATCGCACCGATTATGGCAAGTCGAGTGAGCTATAAATTCAACAGTAAGGGTTGTTTACTGAAGAAGGTTAGCATTTCTATTTACTGCGTATAACATTTAATAGTCAATACAAATAAGGTTGATTTTTCTTTCGAACCATCTATCAAATACAAAAATAGATTACTATTCGTATTTTACAGAAATTGACGATTGTATTTTTAACAATATTTGACAATATAAATTGTTATAACTCTACTTACTCAGCCACGGTATACTCGGCTGATCACTATCGAATTTATTCGTTCAATCTTTGTATTAATAATTATTAATATATTAGCAGTAGAGATCCTTGTCAAAGAGTTCGTCCAGGAAAATACTGCCACCTTACCTATTTCTGCCGCCAAGCAGTAATGTGAGCATAACTGCGTTCCTGTTTAGAAGGGTAATGGTACTGGTGACATTACAGGCACATGGGACTTGTCAAATTATGTCTTAATGTGACAGGCGCAGTACCCAGAAGATC